TTATAGTACATTTATTGTCATTCATTCCCTATATGTGAAGATGAAAGTATTATAGTACAACACAGTCTGTAAAGTATTTTTCATTCGTCAGGAAAAAATACAAGAAACGAAAAAGAGTGGGAAGATATTGTTACACATTCTGTAGAAGCTAAAATTTTTTATATTTTCGCTGACATTATAGCAAACGTATATTCTTCATCGACGAGTAGTAGAATAATTTTAAACAACTGCAAACATATACATACATATAGAAATCAAATCTACGTTCACAATATACACATTTTGTTTTTCAACTTTTGTATGTTTTTCCTGTAATTCCCGATTACTTTTGTATATACTAAAATTAACCCAATTATTCATAAGGACAAATATACATATTCTAAGATAGAAAGGAAAAAAAGGAAAGTTCCTCAATCAAAATATCAGATCCTCCGAATCACGCGTCATTTTTCACGATAACTTTTTACAGTAATAATTACTTTTTATTTTCCGCTAATTAAAATAAGCAGATTATTTCAAGCATACTTGTACGAAAGAAATTAAAAGACATTAATACGGGTTTCATTATTTGTTTCGTCTCTCAGAAATTTGTGCTGATATAATGACAATTTTCAAATCAATGTTAGAAATTGCTTTCTTCATTTTAATTGGATGTTTTGAACGTGCCGCCAATATCGTCGAATAGAATAAAGCCACAGGATCCATACAAATCACATTTGTTTATACGGTATTGCAACAAATTAATTTACAGTTTATACCCAGTAATACTGAATAAGAAAAGCATAAATTAATTAATCCATTTATTTTTCCCTTATTCGAGCATTTCACGTTTTTCGTATAATTCGTAAAACATCAAAAATTACACTCGCCGAGTACGGTAACACAAGCTGCGATTGATAGAACAAAGATTCTTTTCATTTCGATAACGTGGAGATTTCTGATACGTTTGCAATTATGTCATTTAGAAGAAATGAAGATGCGATTCGAAGTGGAGTAGTCGATTTATAGACACACATAAATTTACTTTCGTTTTGTAATTAAATAATTTAATAGCGTAAATGATTGATAGAGTAACGATTGTTCAGCAATGTGGTTTTTAATACGAAATTTTTTAACTTATTTGTTACTTGCACACTTCGCGATCAGCGGTCCAGAGGAAGAACAAGGTGTTAAATATGCAAATAAATGCGAAGGTAACTTCATTCGCTTCGTATACCTCATAGAAATAACCTCCGGGCACGCACAGTAATGAATGCCGCCGTCTTATTTTATAGTTTGCAAAGTCGTTGCCACGGAATTGGAGGCCAGACTTGACGAAACTGGAAAAACGCACGATGTGCTTGAAATTGGCTATTCCGTCGATGATGTCCTGCCCAAGAGAAAGAAGGAGTATAAAAAGTCGTAAGTTACTACTATACGTGTAGTTTTTGATAATTGTAAATTTTCATAATTTATGTCACAGTATATAATGCAGATCTTCAATTGCAGTGAGTTACGATTAGTAGAAAGCACAGAGGGTCTTTGCGACAGAATATTGGATTATAACATTCACAAAGAACGTTCGGACAGCACCAGATTTGCCAAGGGGATGAGTGAAACATTCAGAACACTTCATGGACTTGTGTAGGATATTTTTGTGTCAGACATACGCAAGAGTCTCTCTATCAAAACAGTAATTGTGTGAATGTCTTAATACCTAAATGCAGTGTGAATAGATTTCTATTATTTCGGATACAAAAGACATTTACAGAAGAACTACATTTATTTCTTATGTTTTCGAAACTCGGTAACATTGTTTCATATTTACAGGGATAAAGGTGTTAAAGTTGAATTAGGAATTCCGTATGAACTATGGGATAAACCATCCGTAGAAATCACAACTTTGAAAACGCAGTGTGAAAACTTATTAGAAAATCATGAATCTGATATAGAGGACTGGTATCACAATCATCAAGGAGAAATTCCTTTAATTAGGTATTATTAACACTTTCTCGATCCCTAATTATTTAAACTTCAATCAACTTTATGTCGTTTATTTTTTTTTAGATATTTATGTTCAGAGAGGGCATTAAAGAATGATGATGATTCTTGTCTGAAAGAAAAAGGTGATACTTTTAAAGAAAAGAAGGAGAAGAAAAAGAAGAAGAAGGGAAAAGACAATGCAAACAGTAAAGAAAAAGAAAAAAAGACAAAGGAGGAATTATAAATCATTGACAAATTTTTATATTCTTTTGTAATCACAATAGCAACTTCAGCATATACATTTACAATAATTTTGAACTGTATATTTGCATCTAGTCTGTAATAATTCTTCCAATTATTTGCCATAATTCACGTGTTCTTAACTAGGTACTTTTTATTAACTAATTTTTCAAGTAATAAAAATAATGCGTTTGTGATATTTTTATCTTGCATACGATTATTGTCAGAACAACTTGAACATAGCCAAAGTGATATTTAAATTGGAAATATTGTTTCAGTACACTAAATATGTCAATGCACATTTTTCTGCTCTTTTTACTGTTGATAAATTTGAATGAATATCAAACTCTGTTGCTCAGAGGGAAAAGGGTACTTGAAGGTCAGTTTCCTTGGTTGTTACAATTTCAAACAATATCACCATGCGGTGGAATACTTCTTTCATCAGATTGGGTTTTAACTGCTGCACAATGTGTACAAGAGAAAAGAAACGTATGACATTCTCTACTCCTACCTATTCTTGAAAATTGATTACAAATGCATTTTATCTCCTAAACAGTCTATTATTTTGGTTGCTACTGGATTAAATGGAATTGGCTCTAGACAATCAATATCTGTGAAGGCTACTTATATACACCCTGACTATGATGTCTATTCTATTTTACCCGATCGAGACCACAACATAGCTCTCTTGAAACTCGTTGAACCATTTGTGTGTGACGCCAAAATTACTTTACCTAATGTCAAACGTGTTGATTCTGATAATTACACGTCGTGTTTCATATTTGGATGGCAGAGTTACCTTCCACCTTCTTCGAAAGTATTTGCTAAACCAATGCAATATAACGAAGTAATAATTAACTCCTGGAAATCTTGCACACGCATGATAAAAGCAAATACCAATTATACAAATTACACAAATGTGTTCTGCACAATGGTTGAATTTAAAGATGGAATGGAAGCTTGCGCTGGTAATCCTGGTTCTCCAGTTGTATGTGAAAACCATTACCGTGAAATAGCTGTACTTGGAATCGCTTCATGGTCAAATTTTTCTTTAGAGTGTGGAGACTTACCAACATACCTTGACCTCAGCATATACAGGTATTACTTTTATTTGACTTAAGAGTAGTGTGTGTAACCATATTAAGAAATTCTGATTAATTAACAAAACTGACTGTAGTGTCTTATTTAAGGGCGTGGCTATACAATTTAGTTCTTAATAATAAAACAGAAAAATTAGATAATAATGGTAGTTATACCCTAGAGAGCACAAGGGTACGCTTACAGAATGTATCTCTAATAGGAAGCGCAGATCAAGAAATATCAACAGAAAGTATAAACATAACTAAATTTTGGAATAAATTGCATACTCCTTTAAATATTGAAAGTTATATAAGCACGTCAGTAGCCCATAATTTCCATCACTATCATCATCGTCCAAATCATGCAAATAATCATGAATTTACAAATCTAAACAGATCTTCGTTATACAATGGAAGATTTAAGACAATCGCGGCTGAACGTAACAATGACACAACCGAGTTCAATAGCTTTGAATTTTTATTACCACTTACTATTAAAAATGTGGTAACCTCTTGCTCCAATATTGCTATTACATGCAAGAATATTTATTTTCTAATCTATATTTTACTATACTTTTGATTTTATTCAGATGCTATATATTGCTGTACAAATTATGTATTATACAAAATAGATGAAGCAGTGTAACGAGCATTATTTCCTCTTTATAGGAGGAACCCATTTCTGTTTACCACGTAATTCTCTCAAACGCTGATACTCATCCTTGAAATCTGCATGTTCATCTCTATAAAGACCATAAAGTCTAAGCTGCTTCATTAACGTACTAATTTCATTGTGTTGCGGATAATAACGAACAATCTCTGGATTTTTGTATGTAGGTAATTCACTGAATAATTTTACAACTTTCATAGATCTGCGATTGGTCTCTCTAGTTGCCTCACCGAAAATTTTATTACTTAGGCGATTCATATTCTTGGCGTAAACAGTACCCACTTTAGTGAGATCCACATATTTATTAGCCATTTTAATCAATTATAAATACGTTGTTGATCTGCAGTCTATTCTGCAAAGAAACGAAAAATTGAGGTTAGAAAGGTGAAAAGACACGATGATGTGTTAATCTCTTAAACTAAAATTATTCAATTTTTTAATCGATACATATACGTATACTATTTTCCGTATAAGTATTAACTGTAAAATTGACTGTAAAAAATCAATTTTCACTAAGTCTGAAATAGAAATTTATGTATCTTCATACCTCGATCATAGACAATAAATAATAATCTATGCCTGCGACTCAGTTTTATGATAGACAAGACTATATATTATATGCATATACGGTCGTTTCTCAATTCAAGAGGTTTTTGCAATATATGCCGAGTAATTATTGCCTAGAAACACAAATTCGAAACATGTCTCAATGTGAAATCGCAATCATGGTAAAGTCAGACGAACTACATTCATGCGATGTGACTCGTTTTGCATGGGGTTGTGCCGATGTCGCGCTGTTTGATTATAAGGGCAGCGCTGTTCAGCTGTGAATCGTCAGCCAATCAGAGCACAGCAATTCGCTGCATTCTCTCGATTCAAGAACCTCGTTGCCCCCGGATATGGTTCTTGAATTGAGAGATTTCTGTATGCGTATAAAAGGAAAAGGAGTGGAGTCAGCTGTTCATTGATTACTATTGAACCGTTGTCATAACTACCAAATATATAGCGTTATTTAAATGTATGCATGTGTGTAATATGTAATATAACTTCATTGAAATATGAGTCGAACAGCAAAACGAGAATTGAACAGAGATTAAACGTAACCTTGCATTGCTCGAACAAATTTTAAATAAATTTTTATTGAAACAATGTCGGTGGATCATAACGAAAAATATATTTTCGAGGCTGAGTGGTACGATAAAATAGCCAGCATCTTGAAGAATTTTTATTTATACTATTATCCGTACGACAATACCGTTGAATTGGTACGTATTTCCTGATTTTATTATCTAGGCAATTTAAAAATCAAGGTACGATCTGATTTTTCATTTTAGTTCGATATAAAAGCGAAAAAAACATTTTTGAGGAGAACGAAATGCGACGGCATAAAGGCAGAGGATTTTTACGTTGGCGCTATCGTAACGATTTTTTCACGAAATATAAAAATAACGGATTATGCGGACTGTGCTACGCGAAAGAAATTGCAAACGAAAATGCAGAAGTATTTTTTTTACCATGGATAACGACGTACGTTAAAAGAATACTACCGGCTGTTGTAATTGGTCGAATACAATTTTTCTAGAACATTTGCGATGGTAAAGACAGATGCGCTTGACCATTTGGGAGAGATATTGAAACGAATAGTCTCCTGTGACTTTCACATTGCCAACATTAAAATGGTCAAACTGACCCAGGAGGAGGCAACAGCGTTCTGCGAAGACAGGGAGAGCACGGATACAACGTAATACATAAATTCATACCTCCGTGCGCTTTTAAAGTTTAAATACAAATTCTATACTCTATATTTCTCTATTAGGTACGTTGTAAATTATCTTATCTCAGGTCCTGTTGTAGCTTTAGAAATATTGGGTGATCATGCAATTACACGTTGGCTAGAATTAATTGGACCAGACGATAGCGAGGAAGCTCGTTCTAAAGCTCCGAAATCTCTCAGAGCTTGTTATGGTAAAGACAGCATTCACAATGGTTTGCACGGTTCTCTAACCGAGGAAAATGCAAAAAAAGTTGGTATTATCTCGTAGAATTGGTTTAAGTATACATATAATACACATTACACCTTTTTGTCTTACTAGGAATTACAATTCTTCTTTCCCGACTCAAAAAGTAAAAAGAAGGGGCCATCGAATACAGCTACTTTAAAAGACTGCACTTGTTGCATTATTAAACCACACGCTGTCCAAGCTAAGCTAGCAGGTATGCAAAGAGGTGTTTCTAACTAAAGTGTATTTCAATCATTATATTATTATCTTATGTTCTGTTACAGGGAACATTATTAACGACATTCAAAAAGCTGGTTACACAATTTCTGCTCTACAACAATTTAATGTTAATCCATTTGATGCGGAAGAGTTCTTAGAAGTCTATAAGGGTGTACTCTCTGATTACGGGGTGTGTAAATAAATTTCCAAAATATTTTGCTTTAGGAGAACCGTTAGCAAATCTGATTTCAGGCCATGGTGGGAGAACTTCAATCTGGACCATGCATCGTAATGGAACTAAAGCACAAAGATCAGACATTCGATGTACAAGGAGAATTTAGGAAATGGTGCGGTCCTATGGATCCGGTAAGTACCGGTCTCTTTTTAATTTTAATTATGGTATTCACAGTCGTACTTTTTGCAGGATATAGCAAGGCAAGTTAGACCGAACACCCTTCGAGCTAAATACGGGAAGACAAAAGTACAAAATGCTATACACTGTTCCGATTTACCCGAAGATGGAAGTTTAGAGGTAATGGAACGTACATTTGCATATGCAGCACAATGAAACACCATCTACGGAGGCTAATTAATTTCTTTTACAGGCGGAATACTTTTTCAAGATCCTTGATAACAGTTAAACACGTCAACAACAACGCAACAAATACCACCAGTTGCCTTGAATAAGGAACAATAATTGTATTGATTTTTGATCCAATTACCAATAATAATGTAAAGGCTATTTCCACTTTTTTACAATAAACAATATTTATGGAATTGCGGACGTTTCAATTGTAACCGATGCAAATATTGATTGTTGAATTATTTCGAATACATTATAAATGATATTCCGCAACTTATTTACAATATTTTCAGTTTTTTTTGGGTTCGTACAGCGCCAATTAGGCCAGTGGCAAAACGCCTAAACTGTTAGTCAAATTCGACTGTTGGCAATTTGGCCAGCGGTTTGAGCGTTTTGCCGCCGCATTAATTGGCGCTGTACGGACATCGAACGGAGCTTCGTCTTTCCTCCAAAAGAGGCGCCACGATCGCTTCACGCAGAGTAGTCTAAAAACATTAATTACAGCAAAACTAGGATGTAAGAAACTAAACCACGGGCACAGAACTGTTCAGGAGACTCTACCGTGTCGTTATTGTGTACAAAAACAAATGACAACATTGCGAAGCCTAATTAAACACTTTTTGAAGTTTGGTTAACTATTATGTTAACTAATTGTATTTTGCGTTGTTGTCGCTTGGTTTTTTAACACGAAATCGATGCAGCAGATTCTTCTGAACAGTTCTGTGCCTATTATTTAGTTTCTTATACCCTAGTTTTGCTGTAATTAATGTTTTTAGACTATCCTGTATGAAGCGATTGTGGCGCCTCTTTGGGGGAAACAACGAAGCTCCGTTCGATGTCCGTACAGCGCCAATTAATGTAGCGGCAAAACGGTCAAACTGCTGGCCAGATTACCGACAGTCGAATCTGGCTAACAGTTTGAGCGTTTTGCCACTGGCCTAATTGGCGCTGTACGGACCCCGAAAGAAGCTTCGGTTTTTCTCCGCGAGAGGCGCTTTATCGGTGTTATCAACGCAGACTTTTGAATGCAATAGGAATCACGCGAAGCGCACACATAATTTCAAACGCATGATTAATGGTTTCATATGAATTTTTTATACTTTTATAGACGTATACTATTCTAATAATATTATTCTAATAATACTATTAATAATAATACTATTCTAATAATACTATTAATAATAATACTATTCTAATAATACTATTTTAATAATACTATTTTAATAATACTATTAATAATAATACTATTCTAATAATACTATTAATAATAATACTATTCTAATAATACTATTTTAATAATACTATTTTAATAATACTATTAATAATAATACTATTCTAATAATACTATTAATAATAATACTATTTTAATAATACTATTAATAGTAATACTATTTTAATAATACTATTTTAATAATACTATTCTAATAATACTATTAATAATAATACTATTTTAATAATACTATTAATAATAATACTATTGGTAATAATACTATTTAATAATATAATGTACCGATTTCTAAGGGTTCACTCCGTTCTATTGTTACAGCGACGAAATGAGAATCTTGCGAATTTGTAACTGTCGTTTGCGGAAGCTCCAAAACGACTAATTTTCCTGGATCGGCATCATGTATATCAAAGATCGACGGCAAAGATACGTGGGCAGATATCATCATGCAGGAATAACTTTACACTCATTTATTATAATATAAAAAAGATAAAACGTACAATTTATTACGATCATTTCAATTACACGCTAATTAAAAACACTTTAATAATAGATACAGGAATAGATGTAATTTGATTAGTACAATCGCATCAGTATTATTCTAATATTTGCCTAACTATTACAAATCACTAAACTGAATAGCTTTTATTCCGTGTAACTTATTTTTATGATATAAACTTAACCTTTTAGGCACGACGCGCCACTATAGTGGCTTGCTCTAGTAGCTCACTCGCTCATCGTTTGAACCAAATAATCGTCTTCATATGCATTGTTTCACACTTTTTTTGTTTTCACATCGATTTACAACAGTCTGTAGGGTGTCACAAAAATGTCTCGCAATTCGGAAATGGCGGGTTCCTCGGATCATTTGAAGCAACTTCTTCCTTTACAAAAATGTTCTCCGAGGCACCGTTAACGAGTTATCAACGAAAAACAGTGACCAATAAGAATCGAGTACGGCTGACGCGAGGCGGCCCAGCCAACCAGCGCGCGAAGCCCGGTTCCGCTCGTTGGCTCGATCGCCTCGCGCCAGCCGAGCTTGCCTCTCATTGGTCACTGTTTTTCGTTAATAACTCGTTAACGGCGCCTCGGAGAACATTTTTATAAAGGAGAAAGTTGCTTCAAATGGCCCGAGGAACCCGCCACTTTCGGATTGCGAGACAT